TGAGATATATTTTTGTTGCAATTTTTTTTTTTCTTTTAGAATAAGTATAAAAATAAAGTTCTAGAATTAATGGATAAATGATAATTCATTGTATATTTAAATTGAGAGTATTTTTATTAAACCTTTTTGGGTAAAGAGCTTTTGGTGAAAAAAGCTTGAAAGCTCTTGATTTAAACATTGTCCGTTTGGTTATTATTTATCATATTCTATCCCTATTCCAAATACAAATGCACTTGTTTCCTTATTTCAAACTCTATCCTAAATTAAAAAACTTTTTGAATTCCCTAAGTTGTTAATTGACAAAAACACCCCCAACAAAAAAATTTATAAATTAACAAAAACACCCCACCCACCCATAGTTGTCAGATTCTAGCCAAACAACCGTCAGTGGTGGCCGAAATATATCACAACGGCTTACAAACGACGGAATTGACCGGTAATTTGTCGATTGACCTTTCCTGGTAAAGGCCAGATTTGGCCGTCGTTGACGGCTAACTCCTCGCCATCATGACCATCCACAACGGTCATATCTTTGGCGTCACTGACGCGCCAGATTGGCCTTTTCCGACCAATCCGTGATGGACTAATAAAAAAAGGCTAGATCGAGCACGATCGGCTAGATCCTACCAATCTACACCATAACGCCAGATTCTGACCAGGCTTTACGGTGGTGGCCGGAATCTGGCACTGCGGGTGGGTGGGGGTGTTTTTGTCATTTTACAAAAAAATTATATTGGGGTGTTTAGTTAAATTAGCAAACTATGGGTTTTTTGTTAATTTTTAAATTTTACCTCGTAATATCATCCAACTCTATCTATCAATACTATTTCAAAAATCATATCCAAAATAATAACCAAGCGGATCCTTATGTTTGAATTGAAAAAAAAAAAAATGATCAATCAACAAATAAATAAATGCAAAATATTTTTATATGAAGATTTATTAATGCAGTTTAAGTATTAAAAGGTCAATTATCATGCCTTAATTTTTCTTTTTTCCTTCAAACATGAAAAATTGAAGATTGGGTTACCCTACTTAACAAACTCCTCGAGCATTGGTTTGTCAAAATAGAAGTGAAAGTTTTAGTAAACATAAATATTAATGCTGAATTCTTACCTATTAACTTAATTAAGTTTTGAAGCCAAGTGTTAACCAGCTAAACAAATAATAAAAAACTATGTTCCCATTTTTTCAAAATTCCTCTTACTGTTCTGTTAGAACTCTAAGAAATGATCCTAATAGCCCAACAACATTTCTATGTTTGATTTTTGAGAGAATCACAAACCTCATTAATGAATTCATGAAGCTTTCCATCATCAACTATTTTATACTTTTACGCCACAATTCTTCCATCTGACAACGTTCCACAGTACTTTGGCCTCCTTCCCCAACAATTAAATTCACATTAAAATGGTCAGTGGCCTTATCTAAATCCTTCGAATTCATAAATCGTTGATCAATCCATGTATTTAGGCCCCTTCACACCCTCATATGATACTTGGATATTTTAATCAGTTAAGTCTTAGATCACAGAGATGAAATATGTGGAATATGTGGTTGTGGTGGAATATCACAGAGATGGAATCTAAGAAGATATGCAAGGAATTATCATCGCGGTTTCTGTAAATTTCTATGAGGGACGACCTCGTTTTGCATATTTGAAGTCAATAGAGCAAGAAGGTTTGAGAGAGTTAAGAATGATTCTACATTTTCTGTTTCGGATAATCTTTCTATCATGGCCAATGATCTTGAGGACACAAGCACCAGCATTAGCAAAGCCTAATTATCCATCCATATGTGGAAACGTTACCATTCCATTTCCATTTGGAAGTGGAAAGGGTTGTTATTGTTGGGATAGTGCCCTGAATCTCATATTGCTTGGAAAAGGGAGTTGCAAGGGACTCTCCTATTTAAATAGAATAGTAGACTGTGTTTTTAAAGTATCTCAAAAAGTGTAAGAGAGATATCAAAAGATAGTCATTGTGGGCTATTATTAAGGGTCTAGTTGGGGTTTTTGGGATAGTGTAAGAAGTTTGCAATTTTCTCTTCTAAAAATTGCACAGTTGTTAGATTTTGCTTCGTGGATTATTTGAGTGAATAGTGGACGTAGGCTAAATTGATTGGATCAAACCACTTTAAAATTCTTGTGTTTTGGTTTTCTTTATTTTTAGTTGCTTGTTTTAATTTTGTGTTTCTGTTGTGGGAATCTTTTTTCAACAAGTGGTATTAGAGTCCACGGTTCGTATTCTGGGAGATGGCAAGCTTTAGAGGAAGCCAGATTTAAGAGTAGATCGACAACTGTCAAGCATCTCAATTTCTTGGAGGTATGTCTAAATTTGAGGTTCTTTTATTTGATGGTAAAATTAATTTTATGTGATGGCAAAGTATAATACAATGAGGGAAGGGGTGATGAAGAAGAAATAAAGACAAGAATAAAGCCTGGTGAACAACGAAAATGTAGCTCAAAGACAGAAGAAGAACATAGATTCATGAATGAAGGAGAAAAAAGAATGAAATTAGATTTGATTTAGGGCTTTTTTAGTGGACCGGGCTGGTTGGATCGGTGGTCTGACATTGTTACGGCGGTCCAAAATGGTCCACTGCTGAATCTGAGTTTTATTATTTGTTGAACCAGAGTTATATCTGAAACCTGACCGGCCAATCCAGTTCAGATTTCAGAACGCAGCTCAAGATGTTATGAACATGTCACACATTCCTATGGGTTTGGACTAGGGGATATCCAGTTCCACATTTTATTTGTTTGTAAAATATAAAAAATCAAGATATAAGTTCAAATCTAGTTGTGAAGTTTATACAAACTGTTAGTAAATTAAGAATAACATTTATCCTAATTCAATCCCAAGATCATATCAAAAGTCATTATTGCAATCACATTATGATAAACGAACTGTAATAATAATTAATCACAGCATAAATACCTCTCATAGATTCTTCAAATCACATGTATTATTAGAATGCAATTGGAGACCATTGTTCACTTATTTATGAAAAAGGAAGAGAGAATGATGTTTGTGTATTGTAATTTTTTCTTTAAACTTCCCTTCAACTTACGTATGATTGATTAGGGAAGTTGTGTGTGGCAATTGCCAATTAGAATAATGTTATGCTTACTCACGAACTTACTAACCACTTTATTCACCTTTATTAAAATTATATATAGTACTCGTACTATGTGTTATATTTACAAAGATTAATAAGATGGTTAGTAAGATCGTGAATAAATATAACATTATTACTACTAATTAATATTGTATGCCGGTGGATCCCATCATGGGTGTCCCACCCATATCCAGTACAAACTTTACCTCTTCCCTGGCAACTCTTCTATGGTACTTCATCGTAAATGCAATCGGGACTTCAAAGGAAATCCTTATCTTCTCTTTGGATGTCAAGGTAAATTTCTAACATTAATGTAGGGTATTAAATTACGACGATATGAAAAAACTTATTAAATAAAAAAAACAAATTAACACATTAGGATAGATTAAATGTATAAATTCATTATAAATAATCTACTTCAAATAGAAGTTATGAGGTCATTGTTAAAGTTTGTTTTGTTTTTTTTTTCAATTTTCTTTATTTTTATATGAATAGATTTACATGGTACGTGTGAAATGAAAAAATAAAATGTTATATAATAAGTTTTAGTAATTATAAAAGTATATAATAAATATTTTTTTTCAAATTAAAAAAGTACGTTGAAGACGAGCCAACAGGGGTAGTATTGGCCGCAGTCTTCACAGAAACGACACCAATACTAAATCATTAGAATAACTTCAAAATGTAGAGAATTTGGGAGTGAGGCTATGCATTAGCGAGAAGACTGATGTGAACTGTGTTAATGTATGGGTAATGAAAGAGTATGGAAAGGGAGAGTCTAGGTATAAATTGGTCTAGGTATAAATTGCACTTGTTTAAGCTAATGGAAGATTGTTGGTTTCTTCATTATGGAAATTTGGCATTATCCAAGAATGGAGACAAACTCTATCAAGTTAATTTAGTACTACGAGAAGTTACCGTACTGGACTTCAACTTCCTCCTTCGTTTTCTAATGCATCAATCAAAAGGTCCAATTTTAAACAATGTTTACGTTGACAAGTGTTATAAGAGTCTTGTTTCTCCATAGGGGATTTAAATGGTGGGTTCTGGTAACATGGGAGCTTTAGACATGACAGTTTTTTCTCTTTCGGCCATTGGCTGTAGGACTCATTGAAGTTTGGTTTTTGTTAAGTGGGCTTGAAGATTTCAGTGTTATTACCATTTGGTTCATCTGAAACTTGCTGACAAGCTACATGAAATAGATTTCCAGAAATCCGCAGAAAAATTGTTGCTAAACTATCCAAAATGAGAAGCAAAACTAATCTGATAAAGACGCTTCTAAGTATAATCATAGTAAATGAATCCTTCACTAAGCAGGTGAAAGGGAAGTATATTGAAAATGATTTCAACAGAAAACTAATGCTCACCATAAGATAAGTTGAAACACTCCCACATCGGTCCTTTATAGACTTTGTTAAAGCTTTATATATAATTTGAACTATAGCTCTATTTGACTCAAATTGATAAGTTGAAAATCAAAAAACCCAAACCCTTTTTAATAATTTGAGCTTTTTGTAATTATTATAATTTTTTTGAAACGGAAAATATAATATTGGATATTTATTACACGTTATTTATCATAAACATATTATCATAATTAAGTTTATATCCTTCTTCACGTTCCATTTTATTTTCATGTAGATAATTATAGGTAATTAAACATTTATCTTATTCTTTGAGATTTTCTTTTTTCTTTTTATTTATTTTTAATAAATAATTTATAAATAAGGTTTAGATGAATATTCAAGATATTATAATTTAATCTATATATGAGATTTTTGACATCTCTATTTCGTTTGAGTTGTCTTTACAAAAAAAAGCAAGTATAAAATGAAGTTGCAGAATCACTTTTTCTTCAAAAGTAATTATTTTACAACCATTAAACCCATATGCTACAGCTACTTACAAATGGCACTTTATTCTTGTTCTTTTATTTTACAAAGACTATCTCTTTATATTTTTCTCTTAAAAAAAAAAAAAAAGAGATTTAATTACAATTCAAACCCAAAATTACAACTCAAACAACCAAAGAATAATAAAGTCAATAATACACTCTACTCAAAACTCGGACGAGTTCACTATTGACTCACTCCTTCCCGTACTCGGCCCAAACCGAGTCCGACTCGTTAGCCCTGACTCAAGCAGTTCCTGCCAATCCATATCCTCCTCCTCCTCCTCCTCGTCCCCTCTCCCTTTCATCATCTCCAATATCCTCCTCGCCTTCTCCCTCGCTTGCTGGTTGCCTCCTCTCTCCACCGTCCGCAGCGTCTCCGCCATGCCCCCCACCTTCGCCAGCCCCCTGAACCTCAAACCACCGTGGCTCAGTCCGTACAACACATTCACACAACTCGTCCGAGTTGACTCATTCAACTCACTATAATCTCTCAACATATCCGACATGCACTCGACCCCACCCGAATCCAACAACGCTACCCGCCCGTCAGGGCACGCCGCCAAGTTTCCCAGTATGATCAAAACCCGACCCACCATCTGACCGGACTTCACCATGCCCAGTAAGACATTAACCGACCCGAGTTTAACCAATTTTGTTCTGTTACTTCTGACGAGTGAAAGATGGTACAAAGCCAAGGCCGAGTCGTGCCGAGTCCGCTCACTCTCCGAACGTAACAAGTGTAAAAGAGGCGGCAGAGCTCCGAGGACTCCAATGGCAGTTTTGTTGTTATCGTCGAGGGATAAACTGAAGATTGCGCCGCAAGCGTGCTCCTGAGCCTCCAGAGATCCTCCCTTCAACACTTCAATCAACGGCGGAACGATTCCTGAACGTACGATCTTCACTTTGTTGGCTTTCTCCAACGATAAGTTCACTAATGCTGCAACTGAGTTCACTTGAATGTTGGTGTATCTGGAGATGATCAAAGATCGTAGGGCTGAGAGTAAACGTGTTGTGCAGAGAGTTGCTCTACTGTCTTCTCTCGTTCTTGTGATCTTTCTTAATGAAATTACAGCTTCTTCGAGTTCATGAACTTGTTGGCTTTTGAGTTTTGCGACGAACTCTTCTTCTGAATTGGGTTGTGGGTGAGGGGTTGAGGTTTCCAGTTCGGACGAGGAGGCTGAAGAGTAGCAACTCGGCCGAGTTGCGAGTTGTAGAGGCGGAGTTGTTGGCACGGTGGCGGTGGTTGGCACGGAAACCTCTGATGAAATAGCGAAGAATTTTCCGGGACGACGAGTTAAGTCAGTGACAGCGTGACTGAAATTCAGTGAAGGGTTTTCTTTAAGTCCTCGAATCAACTCTTTCTCTTCATTTTCTTCCTTTTTATGGGTAGTCGCCATTAATGTACAAACAAGCTTATCTGCAGATAAAATATCAATAGGTTTTGGGGGACTTACAGAATTTTTCTCACACCAGTTGAGAATGGTAGACTTGAGCGCGAGGTTAGGGATGACAGTGGAGAAATCTGGTGCGGTACCGTCGACTAAAGCTGGTGTAAAGCCTAGAGTCTTACAAGCATGAACACAGGCTCGTTCAAAGGTGTGACCAGAAGAAACTATAACCGGGTCCGCCATTAAAGAGCCTGAAATGGGACAAAGAAACTCTTTCGGAGTCTGCAACATTTTCTTCGGCTCTTGCTGTTGAGTTTTTGCAGTAATCGATGAAGATGATCTGTAGAAGGAAATCTTCCATCTGTGTCTGGGACTTCTCGTCGTCTCCGTCGACTCTGAACTCTTCTTGTGAACCATCAACCTCATCAACGCTTCTTGAAACTCCATCTCTCTAAATTTCTCAAAACAAAAAAACTCTTCCACTACTTTGTGCTGACTTATCCCTCAACCTCAAATCCTCCATGAATATTTGTTACGAGATTTCATGAACAAAGATTGAGATAAGACACTGAAGACCAGGTCCAATAAGAGAGCAGAATAAACGTTCATGGAGTTATGAGATTGAACATGGATTTGATATTTCCTTCGTTTCAGGAAAATAAATTTAGGTATGAAAAACTAATATATGGGAATATTGAGAAGAACATCAGAGAATCTGCCATTGGAACTGAAGCTAAAAGAGTAAAGACAACTGAAACAGCGAACTGTAACACTCAATTATTGAACCAAACAATGATCAAACAGTAGTATCTGGGATCAACCTTTTCTGGTAGTCGTTGAAAAGTTTTATTTGCGTTCATATCTAGGTAACTCATCATGCTTAAGTAATCCCATTAATTAAAAGAAATATATTAGTTGGTTAATCTTAATTATCCCAAATAATTAACACGTTCTTATTTTAATGGATAATAATAAGAGTAAACGACCTTTTTCCACCCAAATAATGGTTTAATAATACTTTTCTAACCAAGAACTTTTAAAATATCATTTTATTATTCAAATTTATATTCCGTTTGATTTCAGTATCATTACAACCACATACAACTACCATTCTCTTCTTCGATCATCACTAACCAAAACCTCTCAAATCTTATTCCCATCGACCTCGCCAATAGCCGACAATCGAGCGATTAGATTTTACAGAACTATCCCTCCTAAGTCAAATTCTGATAAATTCCAACTACCAAAATCTAACATTCCTTTACCAAAAGACTCATCAGCATCTCCTCTTTAAAACCCCTAACGGTTTGCATCGAATTTGCTCTCAATTCGTTGTTAAAATATAAATTTAGGTAATAAAGTGATATTTTAAAAATCTATGGATGAAAAAGTGTCATTAAACTATTATTTGGGTGGGAAAAAGACGTTTACTTTGATAGTAAGGATAAAACTATAGATTATATTAGATATATATGCATGTTGCTTTCATATTAATCTAATTAAATTACTTTTGGGATTAAAATGGAACGGTTAATTACTAAATGGCAGATGATCATATGACTTAAACAGAATTAATTAAATATATTTTAATGTTGATAAAGCAATCAACTTTCAGCTGTAAAAAATAAAATTAAAGTTAACTTTTGTTTGGTGCTTAAAAGATGTTTTATTCCCATGACTTTTAATTAATTAAATAACGAATTAGATGTCATCTTCTTAATTAATAACTTAGCTGAAGCCTTATGTTGTATTATGATACCACTTAATTTCAATAATCGTTCAAGACTTGCCATCTTTTGTGTATTCATTCTTTTTCTTTTATCTTAAAAAATTATCTTCCTGTTTGTTTTAGTGAATAGGACTTGATATTATGAATGAGATATATTTTTGTTACAATTTTTTTTTTGGAATTAAGTATAAAATAAAGTTCTAGAATTAATGGATAAATGATAATTTCATTGTATATTTAATTTTGAGAGTATTTTTTATTAAACCTTTTTGTGTAAAGAGCTTTTGGGTGAAAAAAGCTTGAAAGCTCTTCTGATAATATATATCAAATGATAATACATATCTAGAATTTCTTTAAACATTCAAACTATGTTTTGAAATTTTGATCAATCAAACAAATAAAATAAATACAAAATATTTTTATATGAAGATTTATTAATGCAGTTTAATGTATTAAGTTTTGAAGTCAAATGTTAACCAGTGAAACAAACAATAAAAAACTATGTTCCCATTTATTCAAAATTCCTCTTACTGTTGTGTTAGAACTCTAAGAAATAATCCTAATAGCCCAACAACATTTCTATGTTTGATTTTTGAGAGAATCACAAACCTCATTAATGAATTCAGGAAGCTTTCCATCATCATCATCATCAACTATTTTAGACTTTTTACAGCAGCAATTCTTCCATCTGACAACGTTCCTTTTGTAAACAGTACTTTGGCCTCCTTCCCCAACAATTCGATTCACATTAAAATGGTCAGCGGCCTTATCTAAATCCTTCAAATTCATAAATCATTGATCAATCCATGTATTTAGGCCCCTTCACACCCTCATATGAAATTTGGATTTTTTTTTTTTTTTCATTTTTCTTTTATCTAGTTTACCGTGAGAATTAGAATTTAGACTTTTAGCTTTAATATCATGCTAAGTTGTCATCCTACGTACGTAGAAGCTAAACTTGTCCATTACTAACGAAATTAATGTATCCAAAAAATTAATATATGGAGCATGTGAAAATGAATAATGCATCATGCACATTAATTAAATTAACCAGGAAGCATAACTCAAGTACAAGAGTTAAAACTCGGTAATACTAAAGCATCGCAAACAAACTGAAACGAAAACAAATATGTTGGATGATGGCTTGAAACGCTACCGTTTTGACACTTAAGTGGAACGACGTCACTTTGCTCATATTGACAGAACCAATCCTGAGCGTTGATGAAAAAGGAGATCCAACGGATGAAATTCAACCCTAATTTTACCCATATAAAAGCAGAATTATTTTGGCAGTTTATTAGAGCGATTCATTTTCGTTTTCGAATACTCTCTCTTCTTCGTTAAACACCATTGTTAAGCCTTTAGGGTTTCTACAGTTTGGGTTGAGTGTTGCCTGTAACTTGAGTGTTGAGTGACTGGTCAGGTCATTCTGGGTGTATAGTATACACTGTATTTAGGGATTCGAAGGGTGTAATCTCTAGGGTTTGGTTACGGGTTGAAGAAGGGGTTTTGAGTGACTTGTGTTGCTGATTGTGTAATCTGTAAACTTGACAGTATTAGTGCAGCGGGCTCGTGTGATTCTCGAGTTCAACGTGGACGTAGCTTGCTCAATCTTAGAGCAAGTGAACCACGGTAAATCTGTTGGTCTTGTGTATGATTCTTGATCTTGATTTGTTGCTTTTGTTGGTTGATTCTTTCTTTGAGTAGTTATAACAAAATATAATCTGAATACAAGAAACTTAACCAAATGTCCAACATTCGGGCTCATCCAACTAGTCGAGAGCTGATGAGGAGATCAATGGAGTCAATCTCGATCTCGCCTACACCGTAACAGACAACTGGGAACTCAGCCGCTCATGGTGGTGATGACGGAGGCTGAAACGGTGGAAATGAAGCTGATCATGGCGGAGAAGAGGTAATCGACAGCAATATGATGCAAAGAAGGGGCGAAAACGACCAACGGATAGCCGCGCTCACCGGAAAACGTTAATTTTCCGATCGGTCTTCTGGAAAATGGTGGCGGAAATAGGATTCGAAGGTACCGATGGAAAGCTTTGGTGATGGGGAGTTCAGATCAGGTCCTGGGGAGGTGAAAAGTGGCCGAAAATGAGCAAGATCTTGATTGGAAGATGAAGAGTCGCGGTAGCGATTTGGTGGATTCCGGCGGTTTTTGTGGCGGCTGAAGCTTGGAAGTGCTAGATCTGGCCGTGAGGAATGAAGATCAGGTCCTGGGGAGCCAAACATCGTCAGAAAACGGCGAAATCTGGCCTAGAATGCGAAGAGTCGCGGTGGTGGAAGGTGAAGAGTCACGGCATTTCGCGTGATTTGCGGTGATGGTTTGCCGTGGTTTTGACGGGATGATGATGAGCTGTGCACGAGGGAGACGAAACGTCACCATGGTTTCTAAGAAGATATGCAAGGAATTATCTTCGTGGTTTCTGTAAAATTCTATGAGGGACGTCCTCATTTTGCATACTTGAAGTCAATAGAAAAAGAAGGTTTGAGAGAGTGAAGAATGATTCTACATTTTCTATTTCGGATAATCTTTCTATCATGGCCAATGATCTTGAGGACACAAGCACCAGCATTAGCAAAGCGTAATTATCCATCCATATGTGGAAACGTTACCATTCCATTTCCATTTGGAATTGGAAAGGGTTGTTATTGTTGGGATAGTGCCCTGAATCTCATATTGCCTGGAAAAGGGATTTGCAAGAGACTCTCCTCTTTAAATAGACTAGTAGATTGAACTTTTAAAGTTTCTCAAAAAGTGTAAGATAGAAACCAAAAGACAGTCATTATAGCTATTATTAAGGGTCTAGATGGGCTTTTTGGGATAGTGTAAGGAGTTTGTAATTTTTCTCTTCTAAAAAGTGCACAGTTGTAAGCTTTTGCTTCGTGGATTATTTGAGTGAATAGTAAACATAGACTAAATTGATTGGGTCAAACCACTTTAAAATTCTTGTGTTTTGGTTTTCTTTATTTTTAGTTGCTTGCTTTAATTTTGCGTTTCAGCTGTTGGAATCTTTTTTCAACAAGTGGTATTAGAGCCCACGGTTCGTATTCTGGGAGACAGCAAGCTCTAGAGAAAGCCAGATTTAAGAGTGGATCAACGACTGTCAGGCATCTCAATTTTCTGGAGGTATGTCTAAATTTAAGGTTCTTTTATTTGATGGTAAAATTAATTTTATGTGATGGCAAAGTACAATACAAGACCTTTTGTTACAACAAGGACTTGATTAGGCATTAGAAGAGACTACATCAGAGAAGATGTCTAATAGAGAACGGAATAAAATTCAGAGGAGAGCTGTCAATACAATCAGATTGGCTTTAGCTCCAAAGATAAAGAACAGCGTGCTCGCTGAGTCTACACCAAAGGGCTTGTGGGAAAAATTGAAGGGTATTTATTCATCGAAATTGTTGACTAATAGACTATGTTTGAAGATGGATTTGTACTCTCTAAAAATGGATGAAGGTATGAGTCTCCATGATCATTTAAATGAATTTAATAGGCTAGTATCTCAATTATTAGCTATTTCTAATGAGTTAAAGGATGAAGAAAAGGCATTAACATTGTTGTCATCTTTGCCTAAATATTAAAGACCTTTAGTTCAAACTTTGTTGGTAGGAGATCTACTTTAAAATTAGATGATGTGACTGCCTTGTTGCATGAGAATGAAAAGATTATGGGATCAGAGAACTCATCACTTAGAGGAGATTTATTAGTTATAGAAGGTTTTAATTGAGGGAGGACTCAAAAGTGAGGTGATAATTCAAAAGTCAGAGATTACGATAATAAGGAGTGTTATTATTGTGGAGAGAAGTGACATATCCAACCACACTGCAAGAAATTGTTGTGGAGAGAATGCAACAGATTCGCCACCTTAGGTTGCAACAACATCACCTGTATGAGCAACTCTTTCGATTCAATTCTTGGTGGGAGTTTTTCTCTTTGTGACGATGAGAACAAAAACGAGAAAATAGGTGTTGTGGCGTCGAGTGTTGCCAAACTCCTATTCCTTCTTCTCTCAGGGTATTTAATGCCTTTGTGAAGTTTATTGTTGAACATCGGAGGGATGAATGCCTA